TGGCACTCAGGTCTCATCCCATCCTTCTATTCCCCAACATAGCGTTTGTGGGGACCGTGTCCATTCTGCTCCCTACCCCCCAATCACTGCCCTCCTATGGGGTGGCCCAGAGGCAGGTTGGGGCTGCAGAAGGCAACAGGGGTTTTGGGGACCCTCGAGCAGGGGGAGGGCTAGCCTGGCCATCAACCTGCAAAGCAACCTCCCTTCTTCTCCCCTTTTTGGAAGAAGTCATGAGTTTTGGCAGCTTCTGGTGTTTCGGTGTGAGCTGGTGATGCTGGTGGAGCTGGAGGGAGAGCCCAGCTTTGAGAAAGCAGAAAAACTCCTCCTGCCTCCCCCCAGGAGCCAGCGTGGCCCCACTCCCATGGAGGTGCTGGGATGGAAATGGCCGTGAGGCCCTGGGGTTAAAGTGTAAAATAAACCCACCCCCGCACTGCGGGTCTGGTTTATGGTCCTGTTAATGCCAGGCAGGCGGCGGGAGCTTTCTTGTGGGGGGTGGCTGTCTTTCCTGACGTCCCACGTCAGACCCGGCCGGTACATGATGTCTGCCCCAGCTTCCATGCTGGTGGTGTGCACTCAGCAATAAACCAGGGTAATAATTAATCCTAACTACCCTCGGGGGGTTTCTCTGAGCAAGGCCTGGGATGGATGGCAGTGCCGGGTGCCTGGTCCTAGCCCCCAGCATCCCACGTGGGAGCAGCAGTGATGGGTGACACCCCCCTACCCCGGGGTTACGCTCTACCTGCCGGCACAGCCCAAGCAGCATCACGAAAGGTGCTCAGCAAACAAACGTGCAAGGAGAAAGGCATGGTCCCCATCCAGGATGTTTGCCCACGAGCGCATACGAAGTCCTGACGTGGTGCAAGCCTGGCTCAGCTAAACAAATAGGGATCTCGGCAGGCTGCTGCAGCCTCGGCCTCCCTCCCCAGCCTGGCGTGCGTCACAGGTGAGTGGTTTAATGAAGAAAAAACCTAAACGTGTGTCCACCCCGTGCTGCCGGTCTCGGGTCGGGCTGAGCCCTTGGTCCCGTTCCAGGCGCTCAGAGGTTTGGGGAGGAGAGGGCTGGTGTGGGTGTCCCCGCGGGTCACAGGGTGACAGGACCTTGGTTTGTGTGGGAAACCCAGCCTGGGGACCGCGGCGCTGGCATGAGTGGCCAGGAGGTGTGAGAGTGGCCAGGTGAAGAGATGAGACTTTTTTCTAAGTGTGTATGGTTTTCTAGAATAGAAAGAAATGAGAAAAGAACACCAAAAAAAACCCCAACCCCATAGCAAAGAAACCAGGGCAGCTTTTCCCAGTGAAGCAAAACCCAAACCATCAGTGGGAAAACATTGGCTGGGTCAACCTGCCACGAGCCAGTCTTCTGGGATTACATAAACTTCATAAAAAAAGCTCACTTCTTTCTTTGTACTTACTTCTTTTTATAAAGCATTTTAATTCGGGTACACTTTGAAATGAAAAAAAGCTCCTTCGAACAAAAAAAAAAGCACTGTGGTTTGCTTGGAGAACATCTAAATGAGCCACTTTGGCATCGCCCCAGTTCTCTCCCTTTCCCTTTGCCAAAATGGTGCCCAGTAGCCCCCTTAGATACCAGTTCCAAAGCCTTGTGTCCCCACAGGTCACTCGCCCCCATGTCCAGCCGTGTCACCAGGAGGGATGCTCAGGTGGGAGGCGAGTGTGTGACACTGATTCTAAGTGGGTCCCGGGAGCCAGCGACCATGGAGGTGGCTGCTGTCTGCAGGAGCTGATGTTACCCTGCCCGTGACTCGGGTGTCACCTGGGAAGGTCCATGCATTACCTTCCCTTCTGTATCCCCATATGATCCAACAATAACGTGTCCCAGTCTTATTTCCCCAGGTCCCCCGCCAGCTCTGACAGGACCGTGGTGGCTCAGCACACCTCAAAATGTCACCAGCGTTGCGCAAGGTAAAGGAGCTCAACTTTTCCATGCCCAAGCAGCACCTGCCACCCAAGAGCCTTCCTCCAGACATCCACAGCTCTGCCAAAAAGGTACCCGGCGCCTCCAAATTTCAGTCTAGTGGCTTAGACCTAAGAAATAAGGGTGCTGGGTGCTGCAGCAGGGGCTGGCAAGGTGACAGATCCAGACACTTTGCTGAAGGCAGGGCCAGGCAGGATGAGCAGGGATCTGCTGGTGGCTGGGTCGGCTCCTGGCGAAGTGGTGCTGCCTCTGCTTCCAGTTCTGGGCAAACAAAAAAAATCATGTTTCTCTTTTTCGGGTTTTGCTCTCAGCAGAGGGGTTGTGGCTGCTCGGGTAAAACCTGTTCTTGTCAGGTGCTGGAAAGAGGCAAGGAGAAGGTGTGTGGAGGACTTTTTTTTTTTAAAAAAATCACTTCCAGTTTGGTTTTAGCCTTCTTCATGCCTTTTTGCTTTCATGGGGTGAATCTGGAGAGCATGAAAACTTGGGTTTGTCCAAAACTTTTCTGCGTGAGGATGAAACAAATGTAAAAAATGCTGCTTCGTCTTAAGGTTCAGTCTTGAAACATGAGCTGGTGGGGCCAGGGGTGCCTAGGACAGGGTTTGTCCCTGCCGTTGGTAGCCCCAGACCTGGCAGCATTTGAGTCTTAAATGCGTATCCCAAGTAAAGCTCTGCAGAGCCATCCCACCCCAGCTCTGCAGGGCTCTCCGCAGCGGGACGTGTGTCCCTCCCGCACAGAGGGAGGTGGGAGCAGGGTCTGCCTGCGCAGAGGGGGTTGTTTGAGCCAAACCCCTGAGCAGCAGCATCCGGGAAGCCCCCGCACTCACGGCGCTGCTGCTTTCCTGCACGGAAGCAGCCATGGGAGAGGCAGGAGCGTGGCTGGCGGAGCTCCCTGCCGCAGGATGCCAGGAGCCCTCCTCGCCCCGCAGCGGGGCCAATTCCATACCAGAGCAGCACAGCCCTCGGGCACACGCCGGCCCTGGGTTCGCCGGCTGAACACGCTGATGCCGGGGGATCCAGAGAGCCCCAGGAGCTTGTTGCTCACCCACAGCGTCTGGGCATCCCCTGAGGCTGCAGCAGCAGCTCCAGGGCTGTGTTCTGGGTTTTGCTCCAGCTCCCCATGGCAGGGATGCTGCTGTCCCTGTCACCGTCGTAGTCCCAGGAGATGCAAGGAGATGGTGGCTGTGCTTTTGAGGCTTTGGTGTTCACACCTCTTTGTGTCTGTGTGTGAAGGGAGGGGTTCTCCAATGGGGTCCCCCTCCAGCATGAGCCCCTTTTTGCAATGTGGAGTGAATTCCCAGCCGTGTGCTGGTGTGCACCCACCATCCCTATGCTGAGATGAGTCCTTGCATCCTGCTCTGGTCAAGCTGATGCTGCATGTGGCTCCTCATTGTACCCCTGACACCCTTTCTCTGTGCATCTGACAGCCATGAGTTTATTGGGACCATGAGTTCAGCAGATACAGACTTTCCTGTGGGCAGTGGGAACAGACTAAAAAAGGATCAGGGCAGGTGTGTAGGGACCTTTGGTGGTGATAAGATTGTGGGGAGCTGCAGAGCTGGTGCAGCCTGTTTGGGTGATATTTTCTGGGAAGCTGTCACAGCCCCCAGGATGTGGAGCTGCAGGGCATCTGGGAAAGCGATAAGCCAAGATAAGGAGAGAGAAGCAAATCTGGAGGAAGCAATGCAACTTTCCTCCCAAACTGAGCTGGTCTTGGGGTTTTCTTGCAGCAGTGCCAAATGCTGTTTGAGAAGCAGAGATTGTGTGGGTCCCACTGTGTGTCCAGCCTCAGAACAGAAGAGCTTTTCTCATGACAAGGGTAGTGTGTCTGGGGTGTGTGTGAGAGCTGTGGGAGACCCTGACCCTCAGCACTCGTGCAAAATGCAGGGGGCTGTGGGGACAGGGACTAGGATCTCTCTGCTGGGCAGGAAAGGAAATATCCCAAAGGATTTCCTGTGGGCTTCCCAGCCTGGCTTTGTGGTTGATACGAGCGGCTGATGGGGATGGGAGGATGACAAAAAGGGAGACATCAGAAATGATGGGGGCTGATTTTCATGGCTGACAAAGACCCTCAATTGAAATGCTACACTTAAGAGGAAAGGAAGGTTTTAAATCTGCTTCTCAATGGGCAATGGGATGTCCCATGGCTGCAGCAGGGATGCTGGTGAAACACTGCTCTGAGCCAGGGTTGCAGGAAGAATTTGGAAGGACACCTCACCTGCCTGTGGTGCTGGCGGAAATCTGCCCCGTGAGACAAGTCCTGATATGCTGACCAGTCACCTGCCTGCTCAGCAACATTTCTCCTTGACTCCCTGCACACCCAGGTGAGGTATGGGTCTCAAGAGATGTGTGGGTCCTGGGCAGAGCATGGGTACCTGGTGAGGTGGGAGTTCTGGGCAGAGTGTTGGTCCCTGACAAGGTGTGGATCCTGAGTGAGATGTGAGTCCTGGGAGAAGTGTGGGTCCCAGGAGAGGTGTGGCTCCATTGCTCCAGGGTTCCCAAACCATGCTGTGCATGGTGGCAAAGCTGGGATCTCAGTGACCCCATGAGAAGCTGGGGTTGAGCCCTGGCTCCCTTTTGGGGTTCATCCCAAAGTGACCTGCCTATATGGGGGGAGGCAGAAAAGGCCCACATTCCTTTTCCAGAGATCAAACCCCAGCTGCCAAAAGCACTTCTCCTGGTGAGCACTGGGATCCCCTTCCCATAACTGGAATGCTTTGCAATTAACAGCTATGGGGCAGGGCTAAGGACCCCCAGAGAGGGCTCTGTGCCCGGGGTGCAGAAGAACCTGTGGAATGTCGGGGTGGGCTCCCTCCCCCCCAACCCCCCCGAGCGCCCGGTTCCTGGTGGGTGTCCCATCAGCAGCGGGGAGGGTCCCCGGGGGGGGGTGGGGGGTGTCACCCTTAAACCCCTTCCCCTGACAGCACTGGGGAGCTCTCTGCCTGCTGGTGCGGGTTGGGGACGGGCGGAGGGAGGGGCAGGGCAAGAGTTAACCTACCTGCTCTGCCATCCCTCTTGGCTCCACCTCGGGGAGGGAAAAGGGAAAAAGTAGAGGGGAAAAAAAAAAAAAAAAAAAAAGAGGAGGAGGAGGAGGAAGAGGGCAGAGAGAAGCGCCCGGACCGCGGGCAGCCCCGGCCAGCAGCGGAGCGGCCGCCTCGTCCCTCTCCCAGCATGTTCCAGTGGTGAGTGTCTGCCGGGGACTGGGGACCCCGAGCCCCGCTCCTGTCCCCCCCCAGCACCCCCCGGGACCCGGTGTCCCCCTGCTGCCCTCCGCCCGCCACCGCCGCGTCCTGCCCGGGGGTGCTGCCGGCTCCCCTTTGCCATGGCTCCCTTCCGAGGGGTCCCCCGCTCCCCTACCCACTGGGTCCCTTCCTGGGGGTCCTGCGGTCCCCTCCCCACCCAGCCCCTTCCAAGGGGTTCCCCCAGTCCCTTCCCCACCGGGTCCCTCCCGAGGGGTGCCCCCAGAGCGGCTGGCTGGGAAGGGGCGGCTCGGGTGGGGAGGGTGCGGGTGGGGAAGGGACAAAGGACGGCGCCTTGTCCCCTGTCTGTTTGTCCCCTGTCTGAATGTCCCCATCCCAGAAGCGACGGGACCCCGGGGAAGGCTCCCGGCGCAAACCTCGCCCCATCCTGGAGCTCCGTCCCGGCGGCTCAGCGGGAACCGGGACGGGGCCACCGGGCAAGGGCTGGTGGTCACTGTTTCCCCCCCGCCCTTCCCTGGGGATGCCTTTCTCAGCCCTTCTTCTTCCCCGCGAAGGGCTGGTTTGTGCGGCGGGGCCGTGGGGACGGCAGGACCTGCCCCGTGGGGTCCCTGTCCCACGGCAGCCTGGGGGCAGATGCCCACGGGGGAAAAACCACCCTGGGTTTCCACTCTTGCCTCTTCCCCCGGCCCCGTGTTTTTACCGCCTTGTATTTAAACCAGGAGTCTTTTGTAAGAAGGGGACGTGTCCCGGACACCCCGGCACTGGGGACAACCGTCGTGAGCTGGGGCCAGGCTTGCACCCAGCCGCCGTGGGCTGCTTTTGGGACACCCGTGGGTGCTTTCTGCCCAGCCTCTGCCCCTAGATAAGATCCCCTCTCCCGAGCCCTTGGCACGGCCAACAGAAAGGGCTCTATACTGGTGGTGCCTCCGCCGGCTCCGTGACTGGGTCTAATTGAGGGGCCAGAAAAAGCCAAATAAATAGATATCCCTGGCCCATCAAAGAGGTTTTCATGCGCATCAAAAGTGGCTGTGTGCCTCTCCGGGGACCGGGGATGGAGAGCCCCAGTCTCCCGGGGCCTCTGCTGCCCCACAGCATCACCACCTGAAAGGGAAAGTGCCCACCGCTAATTTGGGGGTTTATATTTAAGCTCCCGGGGCACCGCCGGCGGTGGCGCAGCCGTCTCACAGGGAGGCTTTTCAGCTTCTCCTGGTGGGGAAAAGGGAAGCGGAGGAGCGGGTTGGGACCCTTTCAAAGCTCTCCCCGTGGCACCGGCACCGGAGGTTGGAGCAGCCGGTCCCGGTGGGAGCCCAGGCGGGACGGGTGCGGGATGCTGCCGTCCCCGGGCCCGCAGAGCCGGTGCCCCAGGCTCTTGGGGACACTGCTGGGGACAGGCTGGGAGTTGTGCCCCAGAGCAGGGCGCCGGGGCTCAGCAGGGTCATTTCTCTGAGATGGCAGGGAACCCACAGTGCGTGCCTTGCGTCCTGTAGAGCCCCGGTTCTTGGGGTCTTCAGAGAGCAGGACCTGGTTTCCCCCCCTAAAGTATTTCCCAGCTGAAGACATTACAGAGCAGTAAGACTCAAGATCAGAAAAGACCAGTCTATGATTGTTAGTCTTTTGCCCCACAAAATCCTTGGTTTGATACAGAAATCACCAGTGGTTGGGCTTTTGATACAGAAATCACCAGTGGTTGGGCTCAGGGTCCCCCCGTCCCTGTTGCTTTCCTGCCAGCACAGGGACAGGATTTCTGTGGGGCAGAAGGTAGCCAAGGGGCTCCTGGCTCCTGCAGGACCTGGCGATGTCCCCGTGGTTTGCAGTCAGACCTATAGGCTAAATCCCAAGTAGTTTTTTGTAACAGAACAAAAATTGGACATTGCACAGGTGAGAAAGCACAGAAATGGTGTCCACATAGGGAAGGAGAAATAAGTTTCTGTGCTGTTCTGCGACACCTCAGCGATATACCCTGGTGTTCCTGGGCTGCCCAACCCTCCACCTCTTACTAAAGCTCTCCCCTCGCCCCCAGGACAGTGTCTTCTGCCTGGGCTGACACAGGAAACGGTGACCCAAGGAGGGTAATGAGGGGTGAGCGGCTCCACGCAGCTCCTGTCTCCGCATGCCACGGGTGAAACTCATCCATATCAGTTAATGACAGCCCCACCTATGTAAATTATATCAGTAATTGCCTGCCCATGTCTTCTGGGAACCACTGGCCATAATTCAGGCTAGACATTTTGTCACGTGTCCTTGGGGTGGTGGGGAGTGCAGGGACGGGGTGGGGTTGATGCAATAGGGGTCACACAGAGGTGACCGGTGGGATTTCTGCTGCAGTGCCGGGTATTGATGAGAGGTTTTAAGCATTGCTTGGCTGTGTAGGGGTTAAAGTTGCCCCTGTATCAGACTGTGGGGTTTCTAAGATCAACCTCAGAGTTGTGTGACCAGGGCTGGAGAGGGTTAAGGGAATGGTGAGATCTAATCAGAACTGCTCCCTCATCAGTCTCAGATGAGTGGCCACATATAAAACCTGATGGGGAATACCTATCTATTTCCCTGTAATTACTTATTTCCACCTTCGCTCTCACAGTCTACGCTAGCGATCACACGTAAACGCAGGTCTGAAAAGGTCTTTGTGCTTGAGAGAGCAGCCGGGGACAGGAGGTCCCAAAAGCTCCTGGTTCCCCTGCTTCCCATCTGGGGCTCCATCGTTTCCGGGTGGCTGGAGTTCCCGAGAGCAATGCTGTCCCCCCAAGCAGGTGCTTTGGTGCAGCCTGTGCCCCAAAACCCCACCAACTCCCCAGGGCCAGGAGAGTTTCAAGGCTTTTTTGCTTTTTTTTTTTTTTTTTTTTTTTTTTTTTTTGTTACCAGGGCCAGGAGATTTTCAAGGCTTTTTTTTTTGTTTTTTTTTTTTTTTTTTTTTTTTTTGCTATTTGGTAATTACTTGGGTTAAATGATTCAGATTTAAGGCCCAAGCTCCTTTCTGAACTATCCCAAAGTGAAGGTGCCATCTGCCTGCTAGAGATGATCTTGGATCCTCCTGGCTCTAACAGGGAGCGGGAGGTTGAGGGCTGTCCCCAACAGGTGGCACCTGGGCTGGGATGGGCTTCAGTCACCAAGAGGGCAAGTGCAGGGGAGCCATGAGACCCGTGTCACATCTATCTCCTTTGGCTCCCCAGCCGAGGCTCCTTTCATCCTCTGGCAGGGAAAGGGACTCCAGGGGCTGCTGGGCACCTTGTGTGTCCCCTCCACTGGGGAGTAGCTGGAGATAAGGCTACCTTTGGGAAGCTCTCAGGACCCTGGTGGGCACGTGGAGCCCAGCCACTCTGTCCTCCACCCCGTGCCTGATGGCCCAAGGTGGCTGGAGCAAGCGGAACCCCATTGGGAGGAAATTGGTGCAGCTGTGCCAGCTGTGGAGGGGAGACGGGCGCTTGGGGTCAACATCATGCAGATGGGCAGAGTTCCCCACCTCCACAGCAGCAGTGAGAAAGTTAAAGGTGGGTGAGAAACCACCTTTAACTGTGTGTAAAAGCAGGTTGGAGGGTATGTATTTGGTGCATCAGTAATCTCTGGGTGGAGCCTTCCCCCTGTCCCAAGGACTGCAGGAGGGTGCCTCTCAAGCCCCTGGTGAGGACCAGGGTTTGTCCCATGAGCCAACACCTTCTCCTGGCCAGCCGGCAGGTGGGATGGCGCCGCAAGAGGCTGGGCTTGACCTACCACCCTCAGTCTCCTCGGTGCCCCAGAGACCCTGGACATGAAGATGTCTGTTTTGATGCAGGCTGGGAAAATCTGCTCCCAAACTTAAGGTGTGCAGTGGTGCGACTCCCCAAGGTGCACCAATGTCCTTGTCCTTAGCACCACAGAGCAAAGCTATGGGTCCCAAGAGCCAGCCAAAGCGCCAAGGAGTGACCCCAGATATGCTGGGTCTCATGGTGGATGCAGAGTTAGGGATGTCTTTTCCCCAGTGAACCTTGTAGTTTGTCTCAAATGGCATTTTTTTTTGGTCCAAACTGCCAGTTTGTAATGAAACAGTGATGCTTGTTTCGTTTTGACTCCTGCCGTCTTCCTGGCTCTGGTGTCTCAGCGTTGTGTAACCCGTGGTGCCAGTCCAAGGCCATGGGCAGCATGTGGAAAAGATAATTCCCTTCTGCTCTTATCCTTAACTGAATTTTCAGATGACTGAAACAAGGGTTTGCCTTGGGACTTTCCTCTGAAGCAGCTGCGTTGCTAGAGCACTCGTCCTGGCTTCCTCTTCCTTCCTTCCCGTGAACCTTTTCCAGCTCTTTGGGCAGATGTGGGGGTTACTAGATGACACTGCAGCCACGTGCCTTGTGCCTGTCCCTGTGGTTGAGTGTGGCCCCGGAGCCCACACCCCACAGAGGGGTGCAGGAGGTGCTTGGAGGTGTTTGGAGGTATTCCACAGCTCTTCCCACAATGCTGCTGCTTGTCAAAAGGTGATGGGACACAGATTACGAGCATCCCATCACCTCTCCAGGAGGTGCTTTTGCAAACAAGCCTCTCGCAGTCTGCAGTTTCCCCTCCTTAATCCTCCTGTCTCATCCCTTTAGGAAGAAGACCATCTACAAGACAGCTTGCCTCTCCTTCTTGCTGGTGATCACCGTGACGGTGCTGCAACGGGGAATGGCTCCCAGCCAGTTCATGCAGGGGCAGCAGCAGAAAGAGCTGCCCCAGTATGAGCCCCTGAAAACTGAGAAGAGAAACAGCGTCTTCCCCATCCCCAGCAGTTTCTGGAAGAGTGAGAAGGAGAAAGCCCCTGTAAAAGAGGAGGAGGAGGAGGGGAGTGAGAGCGTGACAGCAAAGCAAGAAAAATCCTGGGATGTCACCACTACCAACTGCTCAGCCAACCAGAACTTAAGCAAAGCAGAATGGTTCAAAGGACTGGAGCCCAACTTCCAGCAGTTCCTGCTCTATCGGCACTGCCGTTACTTCCCCATGCTGATCAACCACCCGGAGAAATGCAGCGAGGACATCTACCTGCTCATCGTGGTCAAGTCTATCATCACGCAGCACGACCGCCGCGAGGCCATCCGGAGGACCTGGGGCCAGGAGAAGGATGTGGATGGCAAGAAGATCAGGACGCTATTCTTGCTGGGCACGGCCTCGAAGGAGGAGGAGAGAGCCAACTATCAGAAACTGCTGGATTATGAGAACCACATCTACGGAGACATCTTGCAGTGGGATTTCCTGGATAGCTTCTTCAACCTCACCCTCAAAGAGGTCCATTTCCTCAAGTGGCTGAACATCTACTGCGACAATGTCCGCTTCATCTTCAAAGGTGATGATGATGTGTATGTAAGTCCCAGCAACATCCTGGAGTTTCTGGAAGACAAGAAGGTGGGAGAGGACCTCTTCGTGGGGGATGTCCTCTACAAGGCCAGGCCGATCCGGAGGAAGGAGAACAAGTACTACATCCCCAGCGCTCTCTACAACAAAAACAGCTACCCACCCTATGCAGGGGGTGGGGGATTCCTCATGGATGGGCTCCTGGCCAAGAGGCTGCACAAGGCCTCGGAGACACTGGAGCTGTACCCCATTGATGACGTCTTCCTAGGAATGTGCTTGGAGGTCCTTAAAGTATCACCTGTTGGGCACGAGGGCTTCAAAACGTTCGGCATTGTGAAGAACAAGAACAGCAAGATGAACAAGGAGCCATGTTTTTTCCGGAGTATGTTGGTGGTTCATAAACTGCTGCCTCCCGAGTTGCTCCAAATGTGGGAGTTGGTCCATAGTAACTTGACATGTTCGAGAAAACTCAATGTCCTTTAGCTCAGCCTCCATGGAGAGCTGGGACTGGAGGGGCTGGGACAACCAATCCCTGCTCCAGGATGGGATGAGCCTCTGCTGGTGGCACACAAGCCCTTTGGGGGCATCTCCCTCTGGGGTAAGGAGGGCAAAGACACTGTGCTTGTGGGCAGGGTTTGTGAGAGTGTTTGTTCCTGTACTGTAATGTGGTTCACTTATCTCCAGCTGGGTTGGGGGTTGTTGAAAAAAAAAAAAAAAAAAAAAAAAAAAAGAAAAAAATACAGCAAATCTAGCACAAAGTGAGGGGGGAGAGAGAGAGAGCGCAGAGGGTTTTGTGCCCTGCTTTAGGTACGACCTCCACTGGAGCATGATGAGTGGTAGGGTGGGGGGAGGCAGGGAGGGATGTGGCACAGGCATTTTTTGGAGATGTTCAGGATCTGGCTATCCAGTTGAGCAGTTTACAAGAGCGTGTGCTCCTCCCCGTCTCAAAAGTCAAGGGTTTTAGTGACATTGACCCTGTGTGCATTGGATCCACCTTTGCCAAAGTCCTCTCTGTGTCCCCACTATGCAGCTTTGCAGGGGGGGAAAGGACTTTCCTCCAAGGCCAGACCTCGCCAGCCCCAAGCCCCCATTAGGGTTTCAGCCAGGCAGCTGGGGAGTTGGGGTCTTTATCCCTGATAGAGGGTCTCAGATGATGGTGGCTCCCAGCACCAGCCTGAGATGTGCTTGGCTCCCCCGTCCCTCTACTGGCCTCCCTGTGCGTGCACTCAGAGGAATGCACCCAGCCGAAATTCCTCAGGGATTTGTTCCTCCTGGCAGGAAAGGGAAGGGACGAGGCAGGCTGCCCTCGCCCATGGCCAAGGAAGAGGCAGAGAAACCAAGTTGGCCCTGGCTGGAGTGGCCCATGGGCTTATCACATCTGGGACGTTGGCTCAAGTCCCAGGGGCCTTCTGCAGGGAGACCCTCTCTTTGCATCAGGGCTGTCCCAGTGGGGTGCCTCGGAGGGGGACAACAGCCCCCATGGACACCCTGTGTGTGTTTCTTTGTAGTGAGCACAACGCTCCAGGGCAGGTTGGAGAGCATCGGTCCCACCCCGGCACATGGAGCAGGGTCCAAGGGGACAAGGTGAAGGCAGGGCTGGTGTTTCACACGTGTTTTGCACATCTGCTCCTCTCAGGGCTGTTACAGATGTTTATTCTAGAGGATGAGGCCAAGGAGTGTGACGGGGAGTGGCATCACCAGACATGGCCCCTTGTCTTTGGGCTGAAAGGGCCACTAGGGCTGTCAGGGGGAGCCCCCAGCCAGCTGCTGTGATGGACCCCTCCTTTCCCCCCCCGAGGGCAGAGACACGCAGCCATCCATGGAGGGGGCCATGGATGCTCTCCAGCCACCGACCGCAGGCGTGAGCAAAGCCACAGGCTTGTGCAAAGCCACATGCAGGCACGGGCACCGGGGTGCCACCTCCCAGGCATGGGCTCTGCACAGGCAGGATGTCCCCAGGCACAGGGCTGGCACGTCCCGGTGTCCCTGTGGGCGGGTGGACACGCAGCCACCTCCACGGCCCTGACCACGCACAGCGAGACACGGGCACATGCGCTCCCCCTTTCTCTCTATCTCTCTCTCTCCCCCCTCTTCTCTGGTGCCAGACATTGAAAGGAAAAAATTTTGACTACCTCAAAGGTCCCCCTGTGCAGTGCCTTTTTTTTTTTTTTTTCTTCTTTCCTTTTCTTAATGTGTTTTGGAAACGGGCCTGTTTCATTTACTCCTAGTCTGTATGTTCCCCAGGTTAGAAAAAAAACAACCAACCAAAAAAAGGGCATAAACCAGCCAAAAAAAAAAAGGCACCCTCCTGCCAAGCCACGCCACTTCTCAGCAACTGCCCCTCGGCGGCTGCGACGAGCTGTAAATTTGAGAAGGAAGAGAGAGCCCGTTGCTGCCCTGGGCTCGGCTGTTGTGATGGGGGCCAGCAGGGATACTGTGAAATGTGATTTTTTTTCGATGCACCCAGCAGCACCGTGTCCCCGGGGCAAGCGTGGGCAGAGCCCCGAGGGCATTTTTGGTGCCGGCTGGGCTTAGGCAGCACACAACACTCCCATCGCTTCCCCGTCCCCTCCGCTCCTTCCAGCGGGAGCGACTTCAGAAATACTTTTCCAAATTGACACCCCCGTAATTTATGTCAGGTACAGTACATGAGGCTGTATATATTTATACTTATCCTATATGCAGGGCCGGCTCTGGCTCTCCGTCGCGCTGCGTGCGGCGAGCCAAGGCTGTGTGCAGAAATCTCAGTGTTGCTTTTCACCTGGCGGGACCTGTTATGGAGAAACCTTGTAGATTTGGTGAATATTCTAGTTTCTAAATAAAGGTTAAAAGAAGAAGAAGAAGGAAAAAAAGAAACCCACCCAAGCGCTCACCTCGTGTCATTGCCAGTGGGTTTCTGCTGGCCAAGCCAGCCTGACTGGTTGGGAATGGAACCTGGTAATTGGGCTAGAGTGGCAAACCCACTGGTCAAGGTGGGCACTGGCTGCCCTGCAGAGCCTGGTGCAGTGGTTTTCAACAAGGGATGGCAAACTGGTTTCAGCAGAACAAACACCCTCTCCTTGTGCTGACGGAGCTCGCCACCTTGCTGTCCCCGTCACCTTCTCCCCTTGCTGTCCCTGTCACCCTCTCCACGGTTTTTCTTCCCCCAACCAAAGTACCACCACAGGTGACACATCCCCTGGCCATAGTACGATGGGACACACACACCATGGGTCACCGTAAGGACAAACCCCCATCAGGTTTGTACCTTGCCGAGGTGAAGAGGAGGAACAGCCAAGGCTGAGCCCATGGGTCTCACCTCCCAGTTTGAGCACTGGGTTTCCAGGGCAAGCACATGGCTTGGCCACTTGACGTGGTGATGGGGAATGGAGATCCAGCAAAGGGGACCAGGACAGGCTGGACTTGGCCGGCTGGGCCACATGCCACCGGGGCTAGCTTACCCGGGGCACCAAAAATTTCACAAGGTGGGGGGACAAAAAGGCAAATGCTGAGGGGATGCTCTTGCCCTTTCTCTCTCCAGGGTAACCCAGGGTCTCCTCCCGCCGTGAGGGGACTTCTCCCCCAGGGGACCAGCCAGGGACCCGCAGCGGGATGTGAAAGGGGCTGGGACGGGGCGACCGCGGGAGAAGATGAAGAAGACCAGAAGGATGCGGAGTGGGAAGGACATCCCTTCGCAGGGAGGCGGGGGGGGGGGGGGGTCTCCGCGCCCCGCGGGTTCTCCGCAGGACACCCAACCCCGCGGTGCGGGCGGTCCCGGTGCCCCGCCGGCGGTCGGGTGCTGCCCCCCGGTGGCCGGTCCTGTCCTCGCCCTCCGACCATTTGCCGGCGGGGCTGGGGCGCCGGCTCTTAAAATGGCTGATGCCCGGACGGCTGGAGAGAAAGGAGCCCCGGGTCGAGGGGTGGGGGCGGACACACGGACCCCTCCCGGGGTCACCGGCAAAAACAGCGACCTCAAACCCCGAGCAACCGCTCCCCATGGGCTTACACTGAATATTCCACCGGCAGGAACCCCTTTGTTCCGCCCTCCAGGGGCTGTATTTTGGGAATCCATGCACAGAAAAAAAAACCCGCATTTGAGGGGCTGGGAAGGCTTCCCAGGACAATTAGAAGTCCTCAGCTTTGCTACACTATAGGAGGGTGGATCCATCTTTAACCACAGAGTTTAAGGTCACTATCCGTCCTGGCAAGAGGACCTATGAGCAGACATGAGCCCACAGGTGCCCAAGAGAGGTTTGTACAGAGGGCTCAGTGGCCCTGCAGCCAAAGCTGCCCCAAGTGACACCAAAACAGCAGCTGTCCCCATGGCTTCCCTCACCCACGTGCTGCAGTCACTCAAGAGCAGCCTTGTCCCCAGCGCAGCTGCCACCACAGGCCACCAGCCAAGTGCCTGGCTAGAAAAAAAGGGCAGTAACTAGCACTGAGGGGCCTAACGTCTGGTGGAAGCCTTCACCCTTCCCAGCCTGAGGAACAGCCCAAAGCTTAAGTTTGGTCAAGGGAGGAAGTTCAGATGTTTCTCCTGAGCCCACGTTTCAATGTCTTTGCTTCACACTTTGGGACAAATCAAGAGAGACAAGGTGGAAGGCAGCACAAGAGGCAACGCGTGTTAAGAGCGTGATTGAGCTACAGGGCCTTGGTACAAGATCCAATTTACTCATTTGTTTAAAAAGTAAAAAAGCCAAGTGGTTAGCATGCAACATCACATACAGCTTTAGTAAAAAATACCCCCCCCTCCAAACAAAAAAAAGGCCACAGGGCTCGCTCCAGCCATCGGATTCCTCACCCTACTCCTTCCTGCAAGCACAGCAGATGTTCGTTGTTGGGAGAGGACAAGGGCTGGAGCAGAGCTGGTGCCTGTGACATTAATGACCTCAGGAGAGAGAAGGCTCAGGACACTGTTTCTCAGAGCCCATTTAGTGGCAGAGAAGTAACACGAACCAGTTTAGGTCCTTTAATCTGTCCAAGACAGGGTGCTGAAGCACAAATGATAAAACATCCTGCATTTTTACAGCAAAAATGCTACAGAAGTTTATAGGAAAAAAAAATATTTTTGTACATGGGTAAAACATAAATTCAAGACAACTCACAGACAAGGGGTAAATTCCCACATCTATCGCTCTTTTTTTTTTTTTTAAAAAGTTCCTGTGAATAGGCAAGCAGTCAAAATGGCTTGCTCTCTCTTCCTTGAAATGAAAACTGTATCTTCCAAGTGGCTCACAGTACTGCTTCGCATCTTGGAATGTCCTCCAAAGGCTCCGACAAGATAAAAGGAGAATAAAAACCCCCGGAGTCCTTTCAGATAGTCTCAGAGAGCAGGAGAAGGGAAAGAAAAGGGGTAGTTTATTCAAACTTTATCTTCTTCCCTTGCGGCTTGTGATCTCCACCTCCTCCTCTGCCTCCTCGGAAGCCACCTCCTCTACCTAGAAAGAAAATTGGGTCAAAAAGCAGAGTTACAGTGTCCCTGGTACAGCTACCACCGCCCTTCCAAGCCCATCCTGATTCACATCAAGTGCTCAGTGATGACCAACCCCACCGTGTTCCAAATAATGGCTTTGGGTTAATTTTTTGAGCAAACCCTCTTAGAACAGCAGCATTTCCCTCCTCTTACCTCCAAATCCTCTGCCACCACCTCTGCCACCAAATCCGCCGCCTCTTCCTCCTCTTCCTCCTCCTCTGCCACCACGGCCACCAAATCCACCGCCGAATCCGCCGCCACGCTGAAATTCACCCTTTGGCTTGGCAAAATCCAGGATGACTTTGTTTCCATCTATCTCTCCATCTTCCATGGCTTCTTTAGCTGCTTTGGCATCTTCTGGGGAGCTGAAGTCCACAAACCCAAACCTAGGAAAGAGGTTCAGAGACAGTTACACTCCACGAGCTGTAGCACCACCTACAGGTACTGGATAGCAATCCCAACAGAAACAACACCCAAATTTCTCCAATCACAGGGGGGTAAGGACCGTGTTACTTGTAGACCAGCAGTGGCTCATCACAACTGATGGGAGCCCCATTGTGAGTTGGCCACTACTGAGCAGTTAATATCCTTCTCGTGCGAATCCATAGGCTGCCACGGATTTGTTGGCAGGAAGGAGCTCATTGAGAAGTGAGGACACGCTGCTCTCTACCCACAGACTGAAGCTGTGAGCTTGTTCTCTGGTTTCATGCTATCAACTAACTTTAAAGAATCACCCGCATGAGAAACACCCCGCACTGCACAGATCAGTTAAAAGCAAGTCTCTTTGTAAAGACTGAACTAATCCCAGGTGATGCTGAACATACCCTTTAGATGATCCAGTGTCTCTGTCTGTGACTATTCTAGCACTTATTGAGCCTTCGAACGATTCTCTTAGCGTCTCTTCCGTGGTGTCCTCAGAAAGGCCTCTGACAAACAATGTTTTGCTTTGTTCTATGGAAAGAGAATACATTCAGAGATCTGAGCAAGGCAGCACCAATTTCGTAACATCACATCCAGCTTGGATTACTTGCCCCTAGGACTTAGTCGCAGGGCTAAGGGGTTTGTTTTGCAGTAACAACTCAAGCACTTGAAGAAGTTCTTGGAAACTTTTTCAGGACTGCAGTTAGAACCTGATGTTAAAGGATCTCCAGCAGCCAATCTGGTGCTGTCAATTTGGGTTTATTTTTAATTAGACGCTTGCATCTTAACAATAGGGATACAAACTGGACAGACACTGCTGGATCAGCACTTGACTATCTAGAGGACTTCGGCAATAGTTTCATCAGCATTTCAGATAATCAGTCATCATATCCAGCACACTCGCTTACGATGCAAGTCTCTCACTCCACGGGCATGGTTTTTTATCTTTAAAGCACGCCCTAGGTCTTCATGAATGGTACACTCCTGCCACAGCTGTGTTATGATCAAACATGTAACACTTACGATTAAATCCTCCTCTTGCATTCATGTTCCCTTTCTGCCATGCTGGTGCGCTGAATTCCAGTCTGATTGCTCTGCCTTCAATCTCTGTGTTGTTGCAGGAGTTCAATGCCTCTTTGGCATCCTCAGCTGTGGAAAATTCTACAAACGCGTACCTATTTGGAGAAGATTTCAGTCAGCCTGGGTCAGAAGGGATCTGTGGAGCTAAGTCATTAGCAATGCCAACTCCGGAGTCAGGAGAAAGGCACAACATACCCTTTGGGCCTGCCCTGGTTGTTCTGTGGCATCTTGATGGAAGAAGCTTTCTTAAACAGTTCTTGGAGAGTCTCTTCTGTAGCAGCGTACGAGAGGTTGTTGACAATTAGGGTCTTTGACTCCCTCTCTCCACCTCCTACAGAGAAAACCCAGTGCTGTAAGTGCAAGTTTGGAGAAGGAGAGCACTCTCTTCCTCTAGGCACAAGATCCTCTATAGGGCGAGAGCAGCTGCTGCTCCCTCACATCAAGGTGAGGCACAAGACTATGTGCAACACTGTTTTGGTCACCCACATTAGTTGTCCCACCTTGTCTCTAGTGCATCTGGTAGACATGAAATGCATAGAACAAGGTGAGCAGAAGGCCCCTTCCTGATACCTTACAGTTTTCCTGCAGTTCTTCAAATTGCTCTATCCCTAGCAAACTTCTGCAACAAGTGGAATTAAATCCTAAATGTCATTTACATGCACATTATTGGTCTGGAAAAGTACCTTTCTGATGGTCTTGATGGCTCTTCTCACCAGTGAAGTCAATGACCATGGCACGACCATCAACCTCTGTGCCCTGTTTCTCTTCCAAAGCTTTGTTTGCCTCAGCTTCTGTTTTGAATTGAATGTAGGCCATCCTACAGCACAGAAAAGAACATAAGCAAATGCCTCCTTCCAGGAACAACTAAGTTCATGGGGCAGGGAGGGGAAAGTGATGTGGAAGAAAAA